TGACCATATTTCATGATCACTGTCATTAAACAATTTCTCCAGCAATAACATCGGTAGCAAGATAGCTAAGCGTCTGAGCTTTCAGTTGCCCGCAAAACAGCAGTATTCAGTCTTAGAAGATGAGTGTTCTGTGTCTCAATTAAATGCAGCTGGCTGTGAACAAATGTTAAGAATCTTTTTGACAACTGGGATTTTTATTTTATCAGGCACTTACTCTGCTTGTATGTCTTCCTGTTAAACTAGACGCAGGTGCATGGGAATACTTAAATGGGAGCGAAATAATAAAAGCATTGCAATACGGTACTAAGCCCATGTTATGCTTTGCACAAGTAATAGTAACTAACCTTATCTCATATTCATGAACTCAAGGTAAATCACAACTGCATAAATTCTTTGCTAAAAACCATGTAATTTATTTATTTGTCTTTTTCACATTTCTGACTAAATTCATTACTATATTCTCATTTAGAATGCAACAGGAGTGAGTCTTCACAGATCCTAAAAAACTGTTTCACCCTTGGAACTATGAAACTGTTTACGGGAGACCCAAATAACAGCAGATTATAAAAAGGATGCTGGACGTCTATTTTAGTCCCACAACCACTTCTAGTATTTTTTGACTTCTTTTAGTCTTCCGTTTGGAAAAAAACAACAAAAACTGCAGCTTAACATCACCAATACAACCTTTAAACGGGAACTTGGTTTAAACCTTTGTTTGATATTCGATTCTTAATGAAATTTCTTGAATAAATTTTTGAATCTAATGCTACTTTGTTTTACCTACTAAATCGTTGCAAGAAACTTGTGATAAGCGAGCCTCTCAGCACCTAGTTCATGTCTTCAAATGGTTGTGGACGGAATAGAAGAAGCTTTCGCTTAACAGGCTCCGTGTCCAGTAGAAGGGGATCACCAAAACCTCCAGGCAGGAACCTAGGTATCTTAACAATAAACGAGGGAAAAGAAATTGGTAAATCATAGTATGATACTATCCTCAATCCTCAAGAATACATCCAGTTGCCTCTTAAAGGACTCACGGGAAGTTGCTTGGACTATCTCGGCGGGCATCGAATTCCAGCACTTGACAACTCCTAAGGAATAGAAGTTGCGTCTACAGTCTGTTCTGCTATGTTGCGTTTTTAGTTTCTGGAAGTTACACCTTAGGTTAGTGTTGGGACTAAGCTTTAGTAAGTGCTTAAGAGAATGTCCAGAAGTGTTAAGGATATTGTAAACCACCAGGTCACCTCTAAGACGCCTATACTCTAATGGGTAGAGGTCAAGTGATTGGAGACGCTCTTCATAAGGTGATTTGGTGCATATTTTCGTCATTTTCTTGGGAAACCTACAGACTCGGGTCCTCTTACAACTTATTCTAGGCACCATGATTTGCCAGGGCAGCTGATGGACGAACACGCGTTACACATCCTAACCGTCCCCGTGTCTAATATCATAGCTTCTTACTCAAATGTCATATGGTAAGTAATGCTTCTACCCACACTAATGGAACACGAGTAACTCAAAGGCACCCTGTGTGGTAACTTACATTGGTCTACGCACTCGCTCAGCCCTTTAGTGAGAATATTACTACAGTCCTGCTAAAAATCCCATGAACCCCCCTATCTCCATCAAAACAAATAAGTCTATGTTTACTGCATATATTAATTTTATTTTTTAAAAGATATAACAGTTAGAATTGGAGTGAAATGGCAACATACAGCAGATGCACGTGGTACATGTCTTCATCGATTAACTGAAATAGAGAATGCAGATATTAGCTTTACAGGCTTATTTAGAAAGACTAGTGTCTAATTTGAACTTACTGTGTGAGAGTTATACTGAAACTACGAATAATGTAGGAATCTAGTCTTCCAGGGCGTACGAAGCAATCAAACTGGAAGGCAGTTGTCCAAAAATAATTCGAATATGAAAGTGAGAATTTCCAGGTACTTTTCATCGTAAGGGTGAAAATATTAGGTACAGGTTGATGTCATACTGTAAAAAAAACACAGATCTGCGTGTGGTGAAATATGATCTATAAAGATGTAAGCTTAATAACAGTTAATTACCTTTTTACTCCCTGATCATGACCCTTCGGCTTCCTTTTATGGCCAAAACAGCAAACATACACTACACACTGATAGCGGATTTCCGGCTTTTCATTGTTAGGCTTGCTTTAACGCACTACGTAACGAGTACAACCCCTATATTACTGCTATATGACATATTTTTAATGACAAACCCTCTTCAATAGATTGGTAGTATCTGTGACTTCGTTTATGGTTGTTGGAAGTCTGGGTCCTTCCGCAAACAGTGCTGATATCAACTACGGCTAAGCACTCGGTATTAGTTTGACTCGTTGAGGGGATAGCGTTGTCCATAATACTGAAGAGAATTAAAAACCGTTGGTTGTTTCCTTTCATTTTGCCGATAACATCATAAAGGACTGTTAGGAACGAACATGCGAACAGTTAGAGTCACAGGCAGCAGCAACAATTATTTTAGCTAGAAAAACGAACTCCGGCTTTGGATATCTAAAAAACAAGTCAAAACAAAACCGATTATCATTATAAAACATAAGACTAGCCAGCTTGGCTGAAGAAATACATTGACTTGATTAGCAGCAGCAAAAATCCAGAAAACAAAGCTAAATCAGAAGAAAATTTCGCTCCAACATTTAGAAAATCACATTAACTTCTGCATTTAAGCACGCTGAAGCATTAAATCACATAGCCACACAAAAGAAATAGCTGAAAGAAGCACAGAATGAAGAAAGCCGACTGCCATTGCCTACAAAGATGGCGGATATAATAATTCCCGCCTCATTCTGATTGGTTGCTAAGCTGAAGGGCACTTTTACGAAATTGCGTTGCGTTTAATTGCAGCCCAGCTACCTGTGCAATCTCAGAATTCTAGGGTTCACCACACCAAGAGTGGTTTTAAAAACTAGACCTATTTACTCTGTCCTATCGCAGTGAGGATGCCACAGGTATTTGGAGTTTGACAACGCTTTAACCAGTAACACCTTCTACTACGAATCGTACCAACCAAGTGAAATCAAAAGACAGAAGCGAGGAGGTTCGAAGATGTATTTGACAGACTATCAATATATCGAGGATCGACTGATCTAACCTGGCTAGCGATTGCAGGAAATGTTGAACGCGGCGTTCCCACTCGTCATCTGATGCGGATGCATGACCGAGCGCCCCCAGTGAGGTGAATCAATTAAAACTAATATGGTCAGCATCCAATGTCGAAGACTTACAGGGCTATATATTTTGGGGATTTATTTACCACTACAGCATATTAAGAGGTGATCTGATTTTGGTGTGTAGAATACTAAGAAATGATTTTTGACCTAACATATTCTCTTTTTTTATTTCCAATAGATCAGGACTTCACAGATGACATAGCAGGTGAGTAGAAAAGCTTAGAACGAAAAAGTACCAGTGGCATACGCGGTTTCCACACAGAGTGACCAATTCTTGAGACCTGTTACGCTAAGCAGTCGTGTTGGCACCTTCCTCAACAGGTAACGTCAGAATTATTACTTTTTGCCGACGACGTGAAACATTGGACAGATATACGTAACCAAGACGATACACAGGCACTTCAGGAGGATCTGACTCGACTTCAAAGTTGGGCAGACGATAACGTACTTACCTTCAACACTTCAAAGTGTAAAGTAGTCAATCTGCTAACTACAGTTACATTTTAGGAAACTCCTCTATCGTCGTATCCCATGTCGAAAAAGATTTAGGAGTCCTGGTGCCCCATGATTTAAAGTCTTACGCTAATTGTGACAAAAATGCCTTCCGAGCTAACCTTGCACTGGTAACATTGAAGCGCATTTTTGGCCAGTTTGACGGAAGAACTTTCCACACAATCTTCAATAGTTTTATCCGTCCCCATTTAGAGTACGGAAATATAGTACTCCCCCCTCACTCCAAAAGGTCAAGGTCACTTTGAAGCGTATCCGACGGCGAGCCACGAAATCAGTTCGAGAACTCAAATCTAAGCCTTACGAAGAACGCCTCCATTCACTAGACCTTAACCCATTAGAGTAAAGGCGTCTTAGAAGTGATTTATTAATGGCTTATAGTATTCTCAACACTTCTGGACATCCTCTTAAACACCTACTTAAGCTTAGTTCGAATACTAACCTAAGGAGTAACACCCGGAAACTGGAAACTCAACCTAGCAAGACGGGATGTAGACACAACTTCTACTCCTTAAGAGTTGTCAAAAGATGGAATTCGCTGCCGGCCGAGCTAGTCCAAACGACTTCTTAGGAGTCCTTCAAGAGGCAACTTGACCTATTCTTAAGGACCAAGAACAGTATCACACTATGATTTACCAATTTATTTTCCTCTTTTATTGTTAACATACCTAGGTTCCTGCCTGGAGGATTTGGTGATCCCCTGCTACTAGACACGGAAGCCTGTTAAGTGAAAGCTTCTTCTATTCCGTCCACAACCATTTGAACCATTTGAATTGAATCATTCAAAAAAGACTAGATACCCACAGAGGTATGTTAGAAAGGGAGTAACTTGGGCCATAGGCTTTCTGTCCTTACTATACGAATGTAATATAACATCAAATGACTGCGGAAGTAACTTTCACATAGTTTCAATGTACGTCTTAATTGCTATTCACGTGAAATGGAATTCTTCTATAAAAACACTCAATGAACTCATAACGTTCACCATTATTTGTAAAACTCTATTTATGATTTTACCGTTATGAATTCGAAACATTTTCAACTGTTAAATTTACCTCACTTCTCATCTATTGACGTGGGAGACTAATATTAAATAAGTAATCCCTCGACTCTTTGCACGATTTTGCTCCAACCCCAAGAATTTTTTACTAGTAGCAAACACTTTCCCTAGAATTAAATAGTGTTTTCCATAAGAAACAAAGCTATTCTTAAAATTTTCCAAGCAATTAAGAAAGAATTTCACCATATGCACTTTGGCTTTGAACTGGTTTGTTTTAAATTACTACGTCAATCCTTCTATCGTGCACGTTTATGATTTCTTAGGCACTTATCGCGTTGACATGCGAGGAAGGACCTTGGCGCTAGGACAATTAGAGCTACAATCTACACGAGTAAATATTTTTAAGCTGGTAATCTTGGTATTTTTTTTAAATATGACTAAGCTTTTAGTTTATTATATTGTTTCTGTCAAAAGTTGAGGTTGGGTTTTTGGTTGGTTGATGATTTATGGTACCTTGAGTCTGGTTATTTAAAAATTCAGTTGGACTTGAATTACTCAGGCAGCTGTAGCACGAATGAGGAGAAACGCGTTCTATTGTGATTTGGTTACCGAAGTCACCTATATTACTTCTAAGTATTTGTTTGGTTATTCATGTTTTCCTCTGTTCAAAAGTAGACTAAAGTAAAGATTGACTGCGTGTTCGACATGAAAGTGTACACAAACTTGATTGTTTCTCTTAAAGCTTTCTGGAGTGACCATATCGATCTCTGAATTATTCGACAGTGAACAAACAATCCGTTCCCATGCGTGACGTAGCACAGCTGTATATCTTTTTATTTAAAGCCTATGAATATTTGAGTTTCACATAGTTATCATGAACTCGTTCTTGAAAGGGTTTATATTGTTTACTGCGTGTTTATTTTTTGAGTAGAAAGCACTCGAAGAAATACGCATACAACTCATTTAAAATTTCAAGCGAATTACATTTTTTGTTTAAAGATGATCTACAGATCCATTGATGAAACCACTTTTAACGATTTAAGTACCTAAATCACTCATATAATCAGTTCAACAGTACTTATAGCCATTATATAACAAATTCGTTTGATAGATAATCGAAGCCTCAATATATATATATATATATATATATATATATATATATATATATATATATATATATATATATATATATATATATATATATATATATATATATATATATATATATATATAATGAGAGGATTCAGATGCAGACCATATAAAGGATGCCTGCCAATCATGCTTGCTTTACCTTGTTAGGCAAAGAGTCCTTAAGCCTACAGAAGTGTTTTTGAACAATCCATCGGTAGTCTTTCAAAAAACTTTAAAGTTTCATCCTTTCAAGAATAAACGTATTCAGTCATACTAAGCACGAGTAAAATCAAATTTTGGGCTAGATCAACATCCAAAATAAAATCATACTTCAAAGCAGTCTGTTTTATAATCACGAGAAGCTTCGTTAACTGAAAAAATCTTATGCCATTTGTTATTTAGGAAAAACCATGTTAGCTTAAATAATAATTCTCTAAATGAAATTTTGAAAACAAATTCAGGTTAATTGTAACGTGTGGGTTATGATCAAACTTTTTACGTCCTCTTTTTACTTGAAACGCAAAAGTATGTTGACCCTACTGCAGTCCTTCCATGCATCAATGTTTGTTCTTGCTCTATTTAAATTCATAAAGGGAACCAATTACATGAAATATATTTTGATATCCTTTGAGTTTGATATAAAAACTGACCCGGTCACACAAGGTAAATTTCTAAGTTATATTTCACTCATCGTTTAACAAATAAGGTTTTTTGTGATAATTTCAAATAAAATACCGGACTATTTGTTGTTTAAATTGGTACCATTGCAGAATCCTAGTTTATTAGCTTCTGTTTCATAGCATAATACCTTTTGAAAGTTTTGTTTTAAGTGTCTCGCTTTTTCTTTAGTGTTTATCTTTGATTTACCTAGTTAACCTAGATTTTACTCAAAACTAAGAATTACTCTTTAAAAGCGTGTTTGTGCATAACCTAAAGTTTGACTGGTTGACAAGTGGTTTGTCATCACCGTATTGATTGTTTAATCCTTAATAATGACAGGATCTTATGAATCGAATCGGAGTTCGAGCAGTGGTTTTAGCAAATCTATATTGTAAGCACTGTGCTTTGATGTTTGGACATGATTTTGTTCTGGGCGAAATTAGATATCAAAGCATATCTTCAGTCTTAATAAAACTGATGTTTAATGTCAGACTGGAAGTCAGTTCACCAGATATTGTAATCTATGACGTTATAATTTGGAAAGATATAAAACTGGTAAGCAAAAATATGCCGTAGTTTTAAGTTCAAGCATCGAAATAAAATAAAGGATAAACTCACGAGCATCGTTTCCAATCATTATCAGACCTTAAACTGCACACTGTGGGTGCGTCGTGGACCTCAAATAAAAAATCTAGACTTCACCAAATTATTGAAACCTGTTTGAATTCAGATCTAAAGGCATCACAAATCCGGAATTTGAGCACTTGTCCACGTATATCACGACAAGGTAAGTAGAAAAATACTGACAACAAAAAAACTATAAAATTTGTACAAAATGAAGGAAATTTGGCTGTACAAAATGTGCAGTTTAGTGATGGTGTATGTTTCTGAGTGACTAGAATCTGGCGATCGCGGATAAAATGAAAGATTTTTTTGTAGATGATGCTGAAAAAAGAAAATGGTTGAGTATTGTGGTTGATTATCTGTAGAAAGCACATTATCGTAACTGTACTTCAATACAGTCAGTAATACAAATAATATTCAACCTTAATTGTTCGGTTATTTAGCGGCATTATTGAGTAATGTAGCAAGAGTTTCAATGAAGGTTTACAACATGAATCACTTAGTCATCTACTGAACACATTGCTTCGACTTTCATGAAATTACATCAACGTAAATAAAAGTGTTTTAAAATAGTTTTCGGCTTTTTTCTGCCTTGTCGGTCATACAAAACAAGCGTTTTAGAACTGTGTGGCCATTATCAAAAAATTTAAGAATGAGAGATGCTGATAATCTTTATGCTGCATTCACTGAGTAGCCCTAAGAACCGTAAGGGATGTAGTTGAGTAAAATAACTTTATGAATGGTCCGTGTTATCATTATTATCATTATTAATATTATTGCTGTATTTATTCACTAGCGCAATTAAAAACACTGGTGATAATTATAGCTTTTCAAACAATTTGTTTAAGACTTTTTTGATTCTGAACAACAAAATCTGCTTTGTTTGTGACATCTTTAGGGCTTCACCTAATCTGTTTTATTGGGGTGAACGGTTTAAATAGTTCAAAAAGCAAACTTTTATGAGATCACAGAGATATAAAATTAAAAAAATACACTAGGTGGTTGAAAACTATAGACATAAGTTCAAATCTCTACACTAGTAAAATTAATGATTATATGCAGTTGTTCTTGTGGATCTATTCTCTTGTACTGAGTGCTAAACGTTTCAGTCACACATTACCATGCTAGGGCAAACAAAGGAAGGATTGGAAGTTTTGTCTTCTTTACAAATTCTATGGTAGTACTTACCAATATGTTTGAGTCAAGTTGTACTGTCGTCTGCCCATTTCGACCATGTGAGACATAAACATTTTGATTGTGACTTTGAATAAATTTAAGATAAATATTGTGACCATTTTGCTATGTTTCTTTTAACGACATAATTTGGTCACGCAATTCTTTGTTTTTCTTGCAGCTATTACTTACTATTTCACCCCCCTATTTTATGTGGTTAGATTATTCATATAAGCATGCACAAATCTCAGCTACAGTGTTCAGTGTCTTTTATGTCTCGTCTGTTTGGACTTCTGTCTCTTGTTGAAGTATCTGAAACGTTTATTTTTAGTTCATTTTGTTTGTTTGAATCTTTTCATTGATTTTCAAGACTGCAATTGATCAGTCTGTTATTGATATATGCCCGTTCTGTGCGGATTACCTCGATACCGACTTAAGTCAAAGGCAGAGATAGATGGTAACTAGCAGGAGAGTCAAGGACTCTCGTTTTATCTTGTTTGGGACCCGTCAGCTGGATGTATCTTATATCTTCTAAATTTTATCTACTCACGACTCCAGTATTTTGCCAATTACGTTATCACCTTTGGTTTTTTGAGTGCATGGGGATGAGCACATTGACAGTAATAAAATGTATTGTGTGAACAGCACATTTAAATCTTTGGTTTGATAATTGTTAGGAATGTAAAGTAATCGTTGAATAATAGCGTCATTGATTAGCCGTAATAGTAGTGACCCCAGCGAACTTTAATCTGTCCATAAATTTGACAGCTAACAAAAATATTTTGTCATAGGTATCTAATCATGTTTTTGTGTTTTATGAGAGTTGTTGCTCATTGCTTAACAGTTGTGAAATAGTGTACTTGGTAGGTTCTGCTTCCTTTGAAGTGAATAGAGCTGGAACACGGAAAGAATACCATTATTTTGCTGTGTTGGCGGTTCATCTTTGATTTCGTTTACGAATTGTGTTGGAGCACTAATAAAGTGATCTCATGGTTCTATACCACACAAATATGACAACCTCAGACTGTTTGTTACTGATGAAAAGATTTACAACAGATTTATTTCATCTTACTCTCCAAATCTTGTTGTTCTTAGTTTGAAGAAGTATCAAGAGAACAAGAGGTATAAAGTAATCGTAACTGATTAAGAAGTAAATATTTGAAAATCCATTTCAAAAAAGTTACTGGAATTTTCGAAATTTATTGATAATTTCAATAGTGAAATACTCACTAGTATTTTTTGTACAAATTAAGACCGAATTAGAGATGTGTGAAGTGAAGAAGCACGTCAAAATTACTATGACTGTAAGCTCTGATGAGGAAATTAAGGAGGCTCAGGTCTGTCTTCAGCAAACTTGTTGAAATGGTCTCTTGTGTATAGAGATGGGGTTGACGGATACTGTTGCGCAACACAATTGATGAACAGCGAACTTTAGTAACCGTTAAATTAATATATGTTCGGATTCCAGTGTTTATCAAATAAGCCAATAAACAAAATTTAAGAAGTTTCATTTGGTGTTTCTGGATCAAGTTTATAAGTAATAGATTATTAGACATTTAAGTACTCAAATAGGTTATTCAATATAAACAGCTGAATTCGTACATACACTCATCACAATTATGAGACCATAGAACCGGTAGTTTGTCACTGAAATCTTTTCCATCAAGTCTATTTTATGTTTAGTCTGCAATCTTTGTTCGTATTACATTGCATGTTGTATTCTTTTCAGCTTAATGTGCTTAAAGACACTGATTATATTAGACTGGCTATTTATTTTCTACTATTTATAACCCCTGACTTATTTGCTTATTTAGATAGCCAACTATGTAAATAATGTCCTGATTAATAGTAATGGTAGTGCTTACATATCGTTAGAAATAAATTTATTGAAAACTTTTCGATACATTCATATTTATTGAAATGTACGTAAGTATTTTTGATCCTGAAATGAGAGTTAGTCAGTCACCTTATAACAAACAGACATGTTGCTTTGTCTACGTCGGGATGTGGTCGCATTGAGAATAATACATATGAAATACAAATATAAAAATTAAAAGTATTTATCACATCAAACCAATTTATAACCTCAATGAACTTTGTTTTATCGAGAATGAATTTTAATGTCACAAGATATTAACACTTGTCAATCGAACTCAATAATCCGTAAAAGACTAGGAAAATATGATAATTGTCATTACTCAATGATCAATCGACTGTAGATGTTTCAGTCCTACAGGAGGTCAGTCTTGGCTGTGAACCTGGACGATGTGTATTTGAACTAATGGAAGGAATCAGTTTCCTCACCATTTCATATAGACCTTGCTGAAGGGTCCTAACTATAACATAAAATAGGTTCATATTTTTTGACGGAGTTTTGTTCTCTGAGCTGGATGGTTTGGTCGTGGAGCTTTCATCGTTCTTCTGAACGACATCATCAGTAAAAACTTCAGGTAGAAGTGAAGCGTTCGAATTTTTACACATATGGTTGGCAGCTTGTCCTGTAGACCTCGATGTTGATTGGTTCTTGCTGACCTTAAATCTGTCAATGTTTATTTCTTTGTTTTGGTTGCATCTCCCATTATTTTGATTTTTGGTCCTATGTTTGTCCACAATTTTCCTGATTGGTTGATAAAGTGGATCGATTTCAATGTGCTTGTTGATCGCTGATTGACGTGAATTTCAAGCTCCTAAAAATTCTCTGGTGTTTTTAAAATTTTCTCTATCCAAGATTTCCACATTTTCCAGTCGAATATGTATCCGCAGTTGTCCACGTGCATTGATATAAGTGAGGTTATGTCATGGCTTTTGACCGCTTGTTGATGTTCATGCAGGCAACGATGAAGAAGGCATCCCTTTTATCCAATGTAGTGTTTTTCACAGTTGACACAACTTATTTTGAAGATTATGTTCGGTTTTTCATCTTTTGTCATTTCATCCTGTGGTTTACATAAGACTGTTGTGATTTTGTTGGTTTGTGTGCAACACCTATTCCGAAAGGTCTTCAGGACAAGCTGCCAACCATATATGGAGAAATTCGAACACTTCACTTCTTTCTGAAGTTTGTGCTGATGTCGTTTGGAAGAACGATGAAAGCTCCATGACCAAACCATCCAGCTCAGAGAACAAAACCCCATCAAAATCATCCACCTGAGCTAAAAATCTTCTCCACCACCTCAATGGCTTCATAGTTTCATTTGACTATATCCAAATGGGTAACAATTTGATTTCTCACAAACATTAGATACGAATTGATTAAATAACTACAACTGTTAACTTGACTTTGTAGTTGATTCAAAAACTGGTATAAAATTCTGTCAACTAATTACAAATATTTTTAAGGTTTTAGCGAATCGTTCTAACTAATGTCACTTGTAGTTTATGCTTTATAATGGTACTTTTTGTCTAAATAAAATAATAGGCTAATGTTACTTATTAGTAAATATCTCTGTTTAAGTTCATCCTATATTCATTATAAGATATTATTCTATCATAATATATTAAAATTGTGATAAATTAGGCCTCTATAGACTTATTTTAAAAAGAAACATCAGATATATAATCAAAATAATTTATTTTCTTTAGTTTAGGCATTTAGTTGTTAAAAAAAAGCGAATTCCAGCCAAGAACTTCTACTCTGAATATGATTGGTAATCAAGAACATCATGAAGATGAACGGCCAAAACAAGATAATAACTCAATACTGTCCTCGAAAAATAGTGAAACAACCTCAAAACACTCTGAATGCTATAAGAAACTGCCATTACTTTTATTCATTATGGCCTATATATCATTTTGTTGTCTTGGCGCACTTTGTTTAACCCTACTAGAACGACCTACAGAAAGACTAGAAAGATTGCGCTTACACGCTTCACAAATCAATTTTCTGAGGACTAATCCATGTGTATCAAGTAATATATGTGTATTTGTTATTCAGTAATTTTTTGCTTTGTGTCAGATCTCATTACTGGTGGTATTTTAAAAGTTAATGGATCACTGAGATCTCATTAATACACCAATCTATAGAATAGGAAATTTTAAGGTAAAAAATACCATTAATAAAAATAAAACAAAATAAGTAACGATTGTTTATACAGAATACCTGTGACTGTGTTCAACGATTATTTAAAGGTTAAAGGTTGACCATTTCGTTTACGACCTGAACATGAGTTAATTATTTATTCTCCTGACATAATTCTTAAGTTTAAGGGTACTTTTTTAGTCTTAAACACGAATTGTAACAGACGTATACCCTAACTAATTTACATGAAGGTGTTCAACTAACTGGTAATCGAATTCAATAGATGGAGTTTTATGGAAACATAGGCTCATTTTTTTACAATAGTCACTTTTTAACTTACAGTATAGTGAGTTTAGCCCACATCTAGTTCCTAGTTTTACTTTAGTATTGACTTTCTTTCTATATGAAACCGGATAAGTCATTGCGATTTCCTTATCAGTAATACTGTTACAAATATTCCCAAAAAATGTTTCATATTTATTCATTAGTAGTCTACCAATAATGTTATTTAGTCTCTCCGTGTCAACACTTTTTGTACATCGTTTCCACACAAATACATAGTGTTATCAAATTAAAGAATTATAACTTAAAAAACCTGTAAATGCATAGTTTTTTCGCTGATAGCCCAGATTTTTAAGCCTTATTTCTCTTATCTATGGTGGTTTATTATAAAACTGTAAAGTAATTTTACACGTAATTCCAAAATCCTGACAGAAATTACGGAAAAAAAGGTATAACATCCGAAACTAAGTAGAAAAAAAAACATTTCAATACAGATTTAGAAAACATTAGTAATTTTAAATCTCATTGTACCCCCATTGTAAAGTATGTCATTGTGAGCATTGATTTTTTTTTTAAAAATCAATAGGTGAAAATGATCAATCTTAAGCTCTGACAGACAAGAGTTTTCATTTTGATTATTTTTTAGATAGCATATGATAAATACTAATGTGTATTAAAATATTTTACTTATTAAGATGAATTAAATCACCAAGATTGTGTATTTATCTTATTCTTCTTCAAGATGAAGAACTTCAGAAGTTTGTTAGTTATATTGTATCAGCCACAAAAATGGGTATATCAATGACACCAATTAAAAATATCAGCAAATATGACTCACTGAACATTCCTAAAAATTGGCACGAAAATTTTTATTTGAAAATGAATGCTGAAGTAAATGCTCAACTGGAATCAATCGCCAGACGTATTTTAACTGAAGAAGAAATAAATAACAGCAGTTGGAACTTTTATGAATCAGTATTTTTTGTGATAACAGTTATTACAACTATAGGTAAGATTAAAATAGTGTTATGATTAACATGGATATATTAAGTAACAGATTTTTGCATTCACGTCACTGGAAAATAATAATTTAGGCAGTAAAAATTGATAACTTAGTTAAAATGTGAACTTTTATTGAAAGAATTTCATAGAACAAGATGATTATGACCAGCATTGCGATCCAAAGAGCGCGTTTCATCCTATTCATGGTGAACGTAAATCTCAGTGTTCACGTTTACATTAGGACTCAAGTCTATTACATTTTGCGCCAAAACACAAATCCTACATTCCATTACTAGCCACTATCCATTTATTTTGTAAAATGTGTGACAAAAAGATTATATCTAAGCGTTCCACTTAGGATCTACGTGTACTAACAAAAACTGGTCAAAATGCAGTCCTTTATTTCAACAACGGGATTATTCAAGCCCATCTTAATATTCATATTTTATTCAAAATGTCTTATTACTAGTTATTTAACGCAGATAAAACAGTTACTTTTTCCTAAGACTTAAAAACAATTTGGTGACATATATTTGAATTTAAAGTATAGTTTTTCGTTGCTGATCAAGTGACCATGGCCAGAAACTTCCAATTTTTAATTGATGAAAGTGATAACAATAATGAACGACTTGTTTATTAGAAATTTTCATCAATTGCAAGTTTCTGCATATTCAGTTCGAAAAGATCAATTATTTAAATCGTTTTTATCTTGAGCGCTATTAACCAGTCCAATTATTTATTATCCGTAAGAGAAAAACTTTTCATGATCATAAGTAATAGTAGTAAATGAACAGTTGATAAAAAAATTTATGTTAACTTGAAAGACATTAATGATTTATGAACAATTGAACAAGAAAATACTTCAACGTTTTATTTTGAAACATTATTTCAGTAACAGGGCTAAAATATCTTTGACAAACACACTCCTATCACTCCATTAATGTTTAAGAGAAATATGACAACTGGTTACAGACGAATTGGATATCCAATATTTTTATTCATATAATTAATATGTGTATTCAAAGCAATGAAATCAATGTTAAGCGATTTACTATATGCACTATCAGTACAGATGCTTACTCTGTTTCCCGAATCCAAAACCACATATAGCTGGAACTTATTATTCTATAGTTAAGATGCTTTTAAAATCATGTGATATAAGAAAATTATTTGTACATGTTAATTACACAAAAGCATATTTTTCCACTTGGAATACTTTTATATTAGTCGTAGTATTGTTAAATGTTTAAAAACTAATTTAAAATGGGACTATATCCATTATTTTTATAATATTCCATCTTCTTAATAATGAATAAACTGATCCGGAAAAAGATTTGAAATCCAATCATTAAAACTGAAAAAAACTGTTTACCAGATTAAAGTCTAATAGAAAGAAATGATGTAAACAGGTGAGAATATTAACAATTTTATCATACGCGGGAATAAATGAATGATTTTTAGAAATTAATCACTTATTTACGCCTGCTACTTGTCTTGGAGATTCATAGGCCGCTTACCAGCATTCTCCATCCAACTCTGTCTTGAAAAGTCCTTTCCAGTTGCTATTTATTTTTTCGATTTCTACTTCCAGTACTCAGTGCAATGTGCTCTTTGACCTTCCTCTTTTCCGTTTCCCTTCAGGATTCCAGGTTAGTGCTTGCTTCGTGATGCATTTTGATGATTTCCGAAATGCATGTCCTATCCACTTGTAGTGTCTTTTCCTAATTTCCTCCACAGTTGGAAGTTGGTTTGTTCTCTCCTACAGTAGGCTGGTGCTGATGGTATCAGGCCAACGGACATTGCGTATTAACGTAGACAATTGTTTATAAATACTTGTACATTTTTGATGTTGTTGTCGTGATTATCCAAGTTTCAGCTCCGTACAGTAGAACCGTCTCGACGTTCGTATTGAAGACTCTGACTTTGATAGTGTTTGGCAGTTGTTTTTAGTTCCATATGTTCTGCAACTGTAGGAATGCTGTCTTTGCTTAGCTAATCCTTGCCTTTAAGTTTGCATCGGATCCTTCTTGTTCGTCGATGATGCTGTCCAGATGCGTGAACGTTTCCAACTCTTCCAAAGTTCCTCCATCAAGTTTGATCGTGTTGGTGTTCCCCGTGCTGTATTTTAGTACCTTGGTTTCTACCTTCTATAAGTTGAGGCTGACTGCTTCAGAGGCTGCTACTACACTGGGTGTCTTCACCAGCATTTGTTGGTGTGCATAGGAGAGAAGGGCTAGGTCATTTGCGAAGTCCAAATCGTCTAGTTGCACCCATACTCTCCGTTGTATTCCGTGCTTCCCCTCATATGTGGAGGTCTTCAGAATTCAGTCAATCAACAAAATAAAGAGAAAGAGGGAGACTAGGCAACCTTGTCTGACTCCGGTCTTTACATGGAATGCATCTGTCAGCTGTCCTCCATGCACCACTTTGCAGTGTAGCCCATCGTATAGAATGCGGATGGTGTTGAGGATTCCCTAAAGTACATCTTAGTGTCGAAGATGGTTCCATGAGCTTCTTTTATCCACACTGTCGAATGCTTCCCTGTGGTCAAGGAAGTTGATGAACAGTGACGAATTCCATCCAATTGATTGTTCAACGATGATCTGTAGTGTCACGATGCGGTTTGTGCACGACCAATCCTTATGGAATCCGACCCGTTGATCTCGAAGTTGGCGTCTACTGAATCTTTCACCCTGTTCAGCAACATCTGTCGAATACGTTTTGTTATAATCTCTTTTTTACGGTTACGACCCAGCTATTCCTATTGCTTAGTATTCTCGAACACCAATTCACTCGACAAGTCCCCAAATCAGAACACGGTTGAACAGGAAAGAGGTTATATTCCAAATAACAAGGTTAGATGGAAGCAAGATGCAAGCCAGAAGCACAATAGGGAAAACGTCAGCATATTTATAGTTTTTACATAAGAAGGTTCCAGAGTATTCTCCAACAATCGACTAGTGATGATTGGATAAGAATTAGCCAATCAGCGTGCACCAAAGCAATCATGCATTGAGCATGCTTTAATTTATGTCCCGCTAACACGTTTCCTCATACTAACAATAGTGTGATGACTGTGTATTTCTCGCACTTGCCCAGATCTTCCTTCTTGAGTATCTTGTTGAGATATCCTTCTTTCCAGTCTGTCGGTGGCACTAGTTCTTCCTCGCAAATCCTCCTGAATGGAACATGAAGCATGTTTGCGATTACTTCTGTGTGTGACTTCAGTGCTTCAGGTGGTATATTGTCAAGTCCTGCCGCTTATTCACTCCTGGTTTCTCTGATCGTCGGTAGAGTGACATCCATAGGAAGGTGTGTGTGTGCCACTCCGGTGTCCGGTGGATTCAATGGAGCCGGCCTATTTAAGATTTTCTCACGGAGTCCTACCCATCTTTTCTTGCATTCTTGAATCTCAGTGGTTGGCTTGCTTTCTTTGTCTTTGACCGGTCTCTGTGGTTTACCATATTTCCCTGTTAGTTTCTTCGTTGTGTCATGTAGTTATTTCATACTTCCTTCCGTTGCAGCTATTTTCGCAGCCTTTGCTAGGTCTTCCACGTATTTCTGCTTGTCGGATCTAATCCTCCTCTTCAATCGCTTGTTTGCCTCAATGAATTCAGCTTGTGCCTTGACTTGCTCTGTTCTTGTTCGGTTGTTGTTACTCGCTGTCTTCTCTTTCTCCCTTTCTTGAACCTTGTCCAGGGTTTCGATGGAGATCCGTTCCTCATGATGATGCTTGTTGAGGCTCAGCACTTCCTGACACGTTGGAGTTATTGCTTCCTGATGCCTTTCCAGTTATCCTCCATGGTGATTTCTTCTCGTTTCAGTAGATCTTGTAGGAATTGGAACTCATTGTTGACAACTATCTTGAATTGTTTGAGTTTGACAGTATCTTGAAGGAACGCTGTATTGAACCTTTGTAATGCTGTTTCCCCCAGTTTTTCAGTGCTCCTTTAGGCTCAGTTTCATCTTGGTAACCACCAATTGGTGGTGATACGTAGTTATGTCAGCTTCTGTCCTGTTTCTCATGTCTTCTATCGACCTTCTGAATTTTTTAGTGATGCAAATACGGTCGATTTGGTTTTGTGTAATGCGGTCCAGTGAGACCCATGAGGCTAGCTTTGTGTATGCGTTTGTGTGGGAATATTGTGCCGCCTATGACCGTCTACTAACATCTTTATCTTATTGACGATTTCCCTTTTTCTAATTGTACTTTTCAAATATTTCTGCACATATATTACAACATTTATAGTTACTTTAATAATTTTTATTCATTAGTAACAGCCTTTATAGCATTTTCGATGTGTAATCACCATAGTACTTATTTTAACTAGTATTTCACGAGGTCAAATGGAGTTTGAAAATTGTCATTAAACTGATGACTGTCATAGTGTGCTTTATCATAGGTCGAAAAGGTTTTTGAAACATAAACTGATCTGTTTGCTTAGTGTAAACATTAATCACTAAATAACATATGACTTAATATTGATAAATCAAATTGTCAAACCAATCTCTCGTTATCATCAAACCTCACAACATGTTAAACAACAGAAATTTGAAGCCGTTAAGCATATATTATACAAGAATTGGTAAACTTTTACAGAATATCTATTAAACAGCACTTTTTTGAAGCTAAAAATAGCCAGAATTATGTCAGTCTCTTAGCTTCCTGCATACTTCTAATCGATTTGCTAATCCAATACACCTATGGAACTAAGAGGTTAATCATTAGATATGGTGTCAGATCTATCATGTGAAAATGTCATATTTGTATTAATATTTTTGACAAAACCAGGAAAAACATAGCTCTTTTAATAGGTAATTTTCATTTTTCACAGTATATATATATATAAATTTAGACGAGGGAATTTAGTTGCTTTGAAAAAGAATTAGTGACTAATAAGTCAACTACTCGTTAGCATAGCAATATACCATGGTGAAATAACTGACAGGCTCCAAATCGAAAAATTGGATTTATCATTTTCATCGATCTTAAGTTAGTATTAATCAAGAGCTGTTTTTTTTCTATGCTTATTTTAGTTATATGATTCTTTCCAATAAAATTACTAAAATACTTCACAGTCAATTTAGTCACTTCTTAAGTCGATCAAAATCATGGGTTATGCCGAAAAAGCACTTTTCTATAATTTTTTTATCAGGCTTTTTTAATATATTTTAATAATCTCAACATCAATAAATGATACTTAATTCATCATTTTAAGACATCATTATGTATGCTCAAGTATAACATTTGATCAAATAATATAGATGAAAGAGGATGAGCATATGACAAGTGATGCTTGTCAATAATTAAGCTTTATAATGACAAGACTTGTTACAATAAAAATGTATTAAATAAATTCATTATATAATATTGTGGATTTCCAGTCAATTATTTGAATTCAACATTTTCTGGAATGAATGAATAACTTTATAATTACATCATGTGAATATAACAAAAAACAATTTGAATAGATTAGACAATGTTTATATCGTAGTTTAATATTTGTAAATGAATTCAACATGAAACATAACTGTTTAAGGTCAAATGTAGAAAAATGTTGAAATGTATTGTTTGATATCTTTGTATTTTATTTATTTTATGTTACTGTGTGATATTTTAATAGTTTTAACAAACAAAATGAAATGCCAATTACTACTTGATGTATTGCGCAATCATTTCCCTTTTATAGTTTTGGATATAACATAAATAAAATATGAGATAAAATGACATTGCATTATTTTTATATATTATGAATTCTAATTATCTGTTTACAAAAGTAATTAAATTTTAAAAATTGCATTGGTTTGACTAAAACATAATATGATAATACATGATCAAAACTGGAGACTATGAATATTGTAAATAACAATCGTTATCAATAAGATTGGATTATAAAGAATGTTATGAAAAAGTTGAAGAAATATTATGAAAAAGAAATTACCTAACAATAAAAAATTAAACAAGACTAGTTATTTTTAAAATGTTTGATAAGATTTATTTGACCTTAAATGAAATGAATAAGTAAGTATCGTATAATAAAGTTTTTTGAAGTAGATGTGGTAATTGATAAGTAGAAAGAAGACAACGATTTGAAGTAGGGTAATCAAAATTTTAAATTACAATGGTATTGATAAATTACGCTTTTTTGAATCCAGAAGCTAGATTTAAGTATCATGATAGCAACTAATCCAAAAAAAAAACTCACATCACTCTACTCAGTAAATAGTTTAAAAGTTATAAATATGACAACTTAACTGCTTTCAACAAACAGGTAAGTTATTGCATCGTTAAAGGACTTCGAACCTTTGATTAGGAATTTATATGAAAGAAGCTCAAAAATACGAAAATGTAATTTCCTCTTTGTTGCTCAAGTTTATGTGATCTGGCTGGCATAAGGTATTTGATAAATGCAGTTGACGTTAATATGAAAATCGTCACTATTTAACTGTTTTGGTGATACGTTCATCTAATAGCAAACGAAAAAGCAGAAGCCAAATAGGCAATCTTCACCAAGTCATTTATTTCGCAGTTAATTATTCTGCTGACGATATTACTTCTGAAGTAGAGATATTAAGAGGTAGCTGTATTCTCAATATAATTTGTTTGTGTTTTCTTCCACTTAGTTATGAATTTCCGCGCACACGTAATCTGCATAAACGTCCTTGGACATGGGTTTCTACTCCAACTTCGCCTTAAAGCAGAGTTCGCCAATGGGGTTGGAAGGTGTTCGCAAATCTATCTTGTAACTTGTTAGACAAAATCTGTTATAATAAAACATACCATTCTACAGATGTTTGCAGTGAATATATCATTACAATGTATCATACATATACATACATGCATATACAGTTCATTGAGTAATAGAACCCAAGAAATGAAACTTATAATTCCGATGTCGTGTTGTGAATTTTAGATAAATGATTCGTTTTCCGCAAAAATAGTTCATAGACAGAAAGTTTCATTTAATCATAATATGATTAGAGAATCCGGTTTTTTGAGAGCCACTGATAAAATCGCGAGAGTTGAGTTCCTAGATATTGAACTATAGTAACATTTTGTTTTGAATTTGTTAAATACTCTCAGTAAAAGAAACATAAACTACGACAATGGTTCTAAGAATTTATTGACTTTCAGGCATATTTTAATTATTCAATATTGGTTAAGGAAACAACATCAAATATGTTTGTTCATTTATTTAATTGATTTTTCAAAATGTTAATAACTGGAAGCTCCAATTTAATATGAAAAATGCAGTAGATAATATGTCCAACAAACATTAAATTTAAATAATTTTTCGTTTGTCAACAATATATATATATATAACCTAGAGGCACTGGAAGGCTGCTTCGTCTGCGAGACCAAAGGTTTTAGGTCCAGGTCACGAGTGCTATATCGTGGATACGCACTGCTGAAGAGTCCCATACTAGGGCGAAATGACCATCCAGTGCTTCTACATTTACAATAGTGGTCTAACATTGATCGGTTCAAGATTCTAAAACTCATTAAACTGTCAATCGCACTTTTGACGAATAATCAACTTCTAGAGAACTTTGGACCATGACTTTAAAATGGGTTTCATTCTGTAATTATTTCTGAAATATGATCTTTTTATTTACTTAAATCAAAAGATGTTTACATTATGGTTAGGAAAAATAATTTGTAAATGGTTTTACCGTGAAGTATATATTATATCTGAGTACTTGATTATCATTATCCGATGTCGATTTATAATAATTAGTTTATATTCATATATCACTTAATTTGGTTCACTCATTTGACAATTTTACTTCCCAAAACCTTTTTGCATTAAACCATTAGTTTTGACTTTTTTTATTCTTATTTCTTTTATATGTTATTTGTCATCATAAAAAATAGAAAGAATGCTTCAGTATCTTAAGCTTCACATTATTCTACCCAGTCACATTATTGAGATATAACGTTTGGTGATCATAAAATTTTATTTCACCCTTACCGATTTTGTTTATCCGCTTACTTAATTTTTCTTCCATATCATCTACTTAAAGAAACTAATTTCAACTGTGAAATACCTTAAAAGAATGTAAAAATAATTAGGTCAAATAAAATAACGTTCAGTTATGTTTTATTTTTCAATTTTTGTGAAAATGAACATTTTAATGTTATTACTGTCAGTATAAATGCTTGATTTTTGAATAACTTTTCTAGGTTATGGAACAATCAGTCCAGTTACCATATACGGCAAAGCTTTTTGTATATTTTTGGTTGCTGTTGGAATTCCAATGAATGTGATCCTGGTTTCTGTATTAGCTTCTTTGTGCATGCCCATTATTCGGAAATCACGAAATGCCCTAGTTAATTTTTATTCTTATTCAAGCGATCATGATACATATCATAACAAACATAATAAAAATTGGAAACATTCAAATTTCAGTTCTTCAAGCGGACATAGGAAATGTATGGAAGATGTTAAACCATGCCTAAATAAGGAAAATAAACATAGAGTTTCAAAGTTGTTTTTCAAGCTTAAATCTCTTTTCCGACGACAAGTTAATGCTCCAGACGGACGAAGTGAATCAAGTGTGCTTCATAAATCGTTATCCGACAGGTTAGTTTGTTGTTTTACTGACAAATTAAATTTTTATATATCAACTAATTTATTTAAAATATACATATATTCTCGCATATTAAATCACATGGTTTCCAATTGCTATCTGAATAATACGAATTTTTTAATTGATCGATGAAAATTCACCTATGTGCTTGAGTCCAGAAATGTTAATTAAATACGTGAATACTTAAAATAAAATTCAAATACAAAATGAAACTTTCATGAAGAATTCCATAACTACTTAAATTTACACCAGTAAATAATGAAAACGATTTCCAAAATGTTTTGAAATAACAGTTCATTTTTATTCATTATTAAGAGCTGGCTAATAAAAGTCAAGATTGTTTCAACGCATCCAAGATAGATTGCGGCCCTAAATCTGACTCTAGATTGGATCGTATTTATGATTGCTATCGAAATATACATACCGCCAATCCTCGTATATAATCATCGACCTAAATCGCGCTGGTGAATAACGGATCCTAGTAATTCAAATATGATAATGGATCTTTGAATACATATATTTCGTATAATCGTTCGTTGAATAGCGAAGCGAGTAAGCCAACTCAATTTAGCCAAACGTGAATCGATATTTGTAGTCGAACAAAAATAAGTTACAGACATGTGCTGAATAGAATAAGAAGTTCACACACATACGCTCATATAAAAACAGTCAAGGTTGATAAGCAAATAATTAACAAGGTCAAAATGTCACTCAAGATGAATGAATAAACTGATCTTTATGAAAGCTAAAATAAGCCATGTGAGCTTAACACAGCAACCGACACCAAAAGGCACTACTAAGTACTATTTTTTTTAAAAACTACACATGCTTTTATCAGTCAACCGTAGTTTTGTTTTTCTCCATTTCATATTGGTGCTTGGATTGTGAAAAGGGTATACATTCTCCACTTGTATAAGCGCAACTTAGTAGAGATCTGTAGCATTTTGTACAAGTCTAAGACGAAAGCAAATGCACATATATATTGAACAGCACGTAAATAAGTAAGGAATATCCAGAGCTATCAACAATACTACTTTAACTCAGATTATCCTCTTCTTTATATAGACACTGTTAGTGGATTTGTTTTCTATAAACAAAGCTTCATAATAATAGATTTAGTTGGTCGATATCATCTTAGAATTCAGCTTTACTCTCCACTTAATTAGGCCATTGATTCAGTTTAATTTGATAGCCAATCATAAACTGTCTTTCTTTTCGGAACGAAATCGTACTAGAGAGATGTAATGAAATTTTACTTTACGTAACTATGATTTGTACGTTGTAACCAAAAATTAAGTTCTACTTTATTTCCTACACCACATAAATATTTTACCGATAAAACATAAAAACTTAGATATTATTCCTTTTTATATAAATGTCATCATTCTAGCCATACAATGAAAAGTAAAGATACACACTCAGTAAAATTTATTTAAACTAATCAAAACAACGGCTCCTATGACAACCATGTCTTCATTAATGTCAAATCGAAATTCCTTATATTTTTGCTAAATCATGTGTTATGCCTGCTACCTCTCGTGGAGGAGCATAGATCACCCACCATCATCTTCATCCAATTCTGTCCTGGACATTACTTTCGAGTTGCTATTCATCATTTTTATGTTTGCTTTCTAGAGGTACCGTAATGTAACGTAATGAAATGTACAAGTCGTACGTGAATAGAACAACTAGTAGGTGAGCTCATGAATCTATAAATCACATATACAGAGTAATCAAATCGAACTAGGTAATTAGAAGAATAAACAATGGTCCATTCCCTCAATGTGTCTCAAAATAGTTATGAATCGTAGTTTCTGTTAGGATGTGCAGAAAAATATACCAATAATTATCATGTTAAGTCTAATGTTGTCCTTGGACGCTAAATGTACATTCTCTTTTGGTCGATATTTGCTTCACTTGTTTAATATTGTGTAAATGTTGTTTTCTATTTTTATGGTACGATGTGGTTTGCTTGGTTAGTATATAAACAGAGTGTGTTTGAAATATAATGATTCATATCTCAGAGGCTGTGACTTGCGTTCTGGACTCAACTGGCTGGGATAGACAGCGAAGCAAGGCCAATCGGGACTCTAGGTCGTTCGTATGTGTTTACGTGTCACTGAAACGATCAATATAAACGCTGCTTATCAAAACCTGCAGTCACCCGTTACAACAGTTTTGAAATTTATTCACAAATAATTATATTTGTATTTATGTAGGTAAATAAACAAACCTATGTGTAAGTTCATTGTACAATAGTTTCCTGTAAATTGTTCACTGATATTTGACGACTTTTCTGAATAACAACTACTCTCACCATAATCATATCTATTGTTAATATTTATTTATCTCACACTATTTCTTCAATTTTATATCTATTCATTTTATTCTATCTGGTATTTGTAAGTGATTAATTTATCAATAATAATCCTGACTAATCCGAAAAATGTAAATATCAATGTTTTAACTGTTAGATTTAATACAATGATTATTTTCTCGACTAAGGCTGTTTCACAGCCAAAAAGTAGTTACTAACGATTAAAATTATGATCCGCATCCTTGAAAACCTCTCACATTGCACTTAATTAATTGCATACATCTCTAGTTAAACGAAACATGATTTTTGTTGAATAAATTTTTATCATATTCAGTTATTTAATTCACATTTCAAAGAAATCCGTAAATTTAATGTCATCACTTAGTTTATTTATTAAATTACCGAATCAATGTATCTCATACGCTTTATACAACTCTATATACGCAATGTCAATCAATAGACACAGTATACCAGTTAACACTTTAAACCATAACTAGTTAACGTCTGGAAATATCTTGTGATTGTAGATCATAAATGTCAACTGCCGATAGCAGACACTTGGTAAACGCATTATTTACCCTTCTATTTGCGTATAGAATGCCTTATCTCAGAGTTTCGCTTTCTAGTTGACTTTCATCAGAAAATCAATTTGGATAGCTAAAACCATAAGTACTCCTTTTAAAATAAAGAAATTCATATAACTGAAAATACCACTTAACAATAATCGACCTCTCGAAACGTGTAAACGTACTTTTAATAAGCCATGTCTAGTGGTAAAATTGGTAGTAATTAAGAAATGAAAAACAATTGTAAGGCCTTCATAATATTGGTGACATTAAGAATAATGCTAATTGAGTAAAATTAGTGAGATAACCACTGTCTTATCCAATACCTTATATAAAACGTCTTACTATCACACTGTCCTCGAGAGCACTGAAACTATGTTTTGAGGATTCATCTGTTAATGTATCGAGACGCATTAGAAGAACTTTCATAAACACTGGTTTTCTTGTAAAGTCTATTCACAAACACTTTTTCAACGAACGAAATATTACAATTACTTATTGCTTTTAAAACTCATGCATTTGTACGTTAGGAAAACTGAGTTGATCTTATCTAAAATAATCTAATAGAAGCATATTAAAGGATACGGCAGTAAATGGCCTCAATTTACTCAGCAGAACTTCAGCAAAAGATATTGTGGATATGGACAATAGAGTAGATACGGTATAAGTTTTTGGGTAGTATATAGAGTGAATAACAGTGGGTTCCTAAGGTAAGCAAAAGCATAAACTGTTCATTGTCTTAGTTTTATATTCATGAAAAGAGTCTTTGGTTCATCTGATACCATCGTGGTTATCTAGTTTACACTTTTAATGCTTCCCGGAATAATATTTAACTTTTTATCAATTGATCCACTCAAGTATTCGCGTTTTGTCATAGCACCTTGTTTTCTCACTTCTCTTTGCTTGACATTCTTGTCACTTTCTTACAGTTGTTTACCGAATAACATCGTGAAAAAACAACTTCCACCAACGGAATGCAATATCACTGAGCCAAAGAATGTCGTCGAAGATGACGGATTATCAAACAAAACTGCCTCAGTGACTTCCTTATCAACGTCTTTATCGACAAACAAGACTCATTCTCAAAGTTCTCTGGCAATAAAAACGGAAAATTATCCAAAAGATTTTAATAATGCTGAAAACAATCATGGCATCTCAAAACATGAGCAATCAAATAAACCAATATTATCTATTATGAAACATCATGAACTTCATATAAATAATGACATATCAATGAATCCCAGTTTAGCTTCGGTAAAAATTAACAGGCCGAAAATGATACTTGATCACACTAATGTACCGAAAAAATTAACACATAAAGTTTCTTTAAGTTTTACAGCAAATAACCAACCAGGTGCAGCTGACAACAGAATAAATCAGCTGGATACAACTCAATCATCTCCTAGTCAATTCAGTAGACACATTGAAAAAGAAGCTTATGTAAAAAGCGTCAATAAACCAGCTCGACATTCATTGAGTGAAATATTTAGAGAAGTAACACAAAACACATGTAATCTTAATGATTGCTTTTCTACAGAAACTTCACTAGCTGATCGTGCTCATATTTCTTGCATAGCATTTCTACATTACTTGGTGAGTAAATGTTTCTATATATTAATGGTTAAGATCATGAGTCAGTTGAAGCTAGACCACCATGGAAAACGTGGAAGCACTGGACGGCCGTTCCGTTCCATTGTGGGACTCCTCAGCAGTGCGCACCCACGACCTCGCCCTCCGCGAGATTCAAACCCAGGACCTACTGGTTTCGCGTGCGAAAACTTAACCACTAGACCACTGAGCCGGCATTCAACGGTGTTAATGTCTAACTTCAACTAATCCACGAATTTGAGCGACACATACACCATTATCTACAGTGAGTGACTATCTCACAAGATTTTGAGCTCAATATCGCTTTTTTAAATTTCTACTCAGTTATTTCTTCTGTAACATCATTTCACATACCATGTATAGTTTTAGGAAAGTTTAAAATACAAAACATAGAGCACTTTTACATCATACTGTGTAATTGAAAAAAAACACATTAACTGAAAGCGATAAAAGCATCAGCAAGTTTCGACTAACGGTAAACTGAAGTCATGTACAGAATACTGATACTTAAACAATCTGTGTCTACCAATACACTGTCTTTCCGTACATTTCGAAAAATTGTACGAGTATGGAATAGCTATTTCGGAATAAATATTTGAATTAGAGTAGATAAGTAAATGATGGGAAACTTTTTTGAATTCCTTAGAGTCCATAACATTAGGTAGTTAAGTGTTATTCTTGATATTGGAAATATAACGTACATATTAGTTTATTCTGTTAATTTATTATTCAAAATAAGAATGTTACATTTGTTTCAGAAAGAGCTTCTCTTCTGATTTCACTTCTCAATATTAATTTATTTCTAAACTAAATTATGCGACAAAAATAAAATGCTACGGCTACATGTAACCACACATCAGCTCAGAGAATCTCCTAGTTGTAACATTTGCAACACTTGATATCGCAGTAAAAGATAGCATTTAATTACAGTAATTAATTTTTACTTCATTCAAAATCTATATGTCATTCAAAGAATTGACATACGGTTCCATTAAAACATTAAAAACACGAAGTTCAACGAAGGGATATCTTTTCAATGAATTTATTATCAGGCTGTACAATCGTATATATCTGAAAAATGCTTTTCTTAATATACTAGTTCCGTGAGGAAATGCGAACAAGGAATAACCAGGATGATGTAATAGAAAGATTATAATACTAGATCATGTAATACGAATATTAACATTAGACTTAATGAGTTAGTAACGAATTATAACGTCAGTGTACTAATATGATAAGAATGTTTTTGTTACAATAATTGTAGGTAATTAAAGGTGATAGAGGTGTGAAATAAACGAAGTGATATCATGAGCAATTCTGAATAAAATAATGAGAATATAAGACACTATAAGAAAAGGGAAGAATGCCATAATAATAATAAGAATTAAGGCCATGGTAGCGATAAGGTGTTCTTCTTTTTTACGCATAGTTCTGGCTTGAGCCCATGGATGGTAAGATCTTCGGCTATTTTTAATAGTTGGATACGAAGAAATCTAGACAGATTTAGACGAATCGTACATACAGCCTTAAAATCAAACTGTGGATTAGTAGGATGAATACAGTCGATTAGATGTTCAAGTACGAAACTCCGATATGCTTTCCTCTCACCCTTGTAGAATCACGCTGGGACATGTTCCCGTATCCGAGTTGAAAGCGAACGCTGGCTACGGCCAATGTACCTTGCTCCACAAGAGCAGATGAACTGGTAGATGCATATGGAGGCGACCAGACGGAGAAGCTTATACCCTTAGGTCTTTCAATTGACAAGTTGACAGACATAGATTTATGTTGTTAGGATCAATTTACTCACATATATAGCATGTCGTTTCGGTTAAAAGTTCACTAGTGAACAAAATCTTAACGTCAATCGAGAACATGTGCTTTCCGAGAGTATTAACGCCTTTAGAAAGATCAGTAAATTGAAAATTAACATGAATAGAATATTTAGATAATTGCTTTCTAAACGGTTTCACTTCTTCAGCCAACCGTTAGGCGACTCGGTGGTATGGTGAACTCGACATATCTAAAATAGTTCGTAACGGTAAACAGGTTTATGTACTTTTGGTAATCCATATAAGCGCAGGATGATCAAACCCACCGAATGTATATGATCATATATGTCTTAGGTTATTATCCCCTTATTCTTAAGATTTTTAACAACATTCTTTAGCTGTCTTTCAATTTGCTGTGTTTCGTCTACTTCTCCTTTAGGCTTTGAAAATTTAGTATTATCGTCTAAAAGTACTTACTTACTTACTCACTCATGTTACTCCTCGTGAAGGAGCATAGGCCGCTCACCAGCATTCTCCATCCAACCCTGTCCTGGGCAATCCTTTCCAACTCCTTCCAGTTCCTATTCATCCTTTTCATATCTGCTTCTATTGTCCGACGTAATGTGTTCGTTGACCTTCTTCCTTTCCGCTTTCCTTCAGGATTAAGTCAGGGCTTGCCTCGCGATGCAGTTTGATGATTTGCGTAATATATGTCCTATCCATTTCCATCGTCTTTTTATAATTTCTTCATCTGGAAGCTGATTTGTTCTCTCCCACAGAAGACTGTTGCTGATGGTATCCGGCCAATGGATGTTGAGTATCCTGCGTAGACAGCTATTTTTAAATACTTGTACATTCTTGATGGTGGTTGTTGCAGTTCTCCAAGTTTCAGCTCCATAAAGTAGAACTGCCTTGACGTTGGTATTGAAGATTCTCACTTTCATATTGGTTGAAAGTTGTTTTGAGTTCCATATGTTCTTCAATTGTAGGAATGTTGTTCTTGCTTTGCCAATCCTCGCCTTTACGTCTGCATCTGAGCCTCCTTGTTCATCGATGATGCTTCCCAGGTATGTGAAGGATTCTACATCTTCCAGAGTTTCGCCATCAAGAGTGATTGGATTGCTATTCTCCACCTTGAATTTGAGGACCTTGGTTTTCCTTTTGTGTGTACTGAGGCCTACTGATGCAGAGATTGCTGTTACACTGGCTGTCTTTGTCTGCATCTGTTCGTGTGTATGCGATAGGAGGGCTAGGTCATCTGCGAAGTCCAAATCGTCTAATTAATTTTGAGCTGTCCATTGCCAGGTTTACTAAGGAGCAAATCCTCATTTCTTTTCAGAAGCACTAGCTGATACAAATGATTCATAGTTAATAAGTTATTCTTACTACGTTGTATATTAATGTGGCCATGACCACAGTCTAGTAATGTGGACCTTAATTGGCCTTTATTATTATTATTATTATTATTATTATTATTATTATTATTATTATTATTATTATTATTATTATTATTATTATTATGGCATTCTTCCCTTTTCTTATAGTGTCTTATATTCTCATTATTTTATTCAGAATTGCTCATGATATCACTTCGTTTATTTCACACCTCTATCACCTTTAATTACCTACAATTATTGTAACAAAAACATTCTTATCATATTAGTACACTGACGTTATAATTCGTTACTAACTCATTAAGTCTAATGTTAATATTCGTATTACATGATCTAGTATTATAATCTTTCTATTACATCATCCTGGTTATTCCTTGTTCGCATTTCCTCACGGAACTAGTATATTAAGAAAAGCATTTTTCAGATATATACGATTGTACAGCCTGATAATAAATTCATTGAAAAGATATCCCTTCGTTGAACTTCATGTTTTTAATTTTCAAAGAATACATAATAAAAATGCATTTTTTGTTCACTTGTAGACTTTATTACACTGTGATTATTTAACTGTTAAGTCGAAATACAAAAAAATTAGTTATTACTATTTTTGGCATTGACTCATTATTTCAGTTACTTTTTTTTGTTTTGTTTACTACCTCAGTTATCTAGAAGTGACTTGGCTTTAACTACACAAGTTAAACTTTCACAATTTCGATATGTGAATGTACATCATGGTATATTTCGTTTACGATTATTACATTTCTTCATTGTATTTTGTGTAGTAATTACATGCTCAATACTTATACCTGGGATAATATTTACATATTTAGAACAGAATTGGACATATTTTGATGCAATTTACTTTTGTATCATATCACTTAGTGCAGTTGGTTTTGGTGATATGGTTGCAAGTGAAAGTAAAGACAGCAGTGCATCATCATTAGTAACGATATTATATGTGAAGAATATTTACAGAGTAATGACTGCAAGTGAGTCCTATATATTTAATCATTCTTTGGATACTTGACTGATATATCTTTTGGAAACAGATCACATAATATAAAGATTTTGTGTAAAGTGTTACTAAATTTCTCTATTGACCAGAAATGCGTATATTCAAGTTTCAGGAAATTCATATTTCTAATATGGCGACATAAAATAACGTGTCACATTTCATAGTCTTAGTAGTAAAAAAATAAATTAGTATATTGTTTACATTTATTAATGTACTTTCCAAGAACATTTTCAAATTAGACTGCTATAGAGCTGAATTCTCAACTAAATGTATTACTTTTTTTATTCTCTTTAGCACCACATTAATTCGTTGTACCTCCATATTTATACATAATATATGATGTTAATATATTTCTCAAAAGTTAATTGGGGAGTCTCCATTGAAATGCAACTATTATTTTTAAGTTGTCTTTTGATTGCATTATATTCTTAATCTCAATACTAAACATATCAATTGAATAGTTTTGCTTCAATAAAAACGTAAGCAGGTCGTAAATCTACCCCTCTAACGGCTCACTGTTGCCATATAAACGACAACCTCAAAAGTACTTCCAAGTTTAAAGAAACTTAAATTTCACCTATAACCTAAAATTAAGACAGCAGAAGAAACCTACTCCATTATCACGAAAACATAAGCTATTCAGCTAAGGAAATTTTATTCTCAACAATGTCAGCTGTCAAAGATGTACAATCGTATTTATAGTTCACTTTACACACAGCTTCTAACAGCAAAGAGAGGTGTTGCATTATTTACCGAAGCTAATAAAAATCATCGAATGTTTTTGAATACTGAGCAAACGTTCACTTATAGTTTTTAAGGGGAAGAACCATACTTACACCTTTTACCCCTTTGTGGAGATATATAGGCCTCCCACCAGCATTCTCCATCGAACCGTGTAGAAGTAACAAAAACAACTTACGAAGGGAAGACGAATATCCATTCTAAGAGTCTAAAAAGGATATAGGGTCAAAAATCAAGGGGAAACCACAATCTTTTAAATTAGGATTGTCAAGAACATCATAAAGTTAAGAATTGCCAATTTTTGTCTTATATACTAAAGCAAATTCAAATCGGTGCACAAAGTTGTGGTCCGAACTCCTGTTAAGCCAGTTTTTTATTTTGAAAACGCTCTTATAAGACAATTCCAGTAGTTACGTGACCAAAGTTAACTATGTGTTCAATAATTCAATCATTAACTGGTTGATAGCCACTCCAGATAGTACTAGGACACGCGGTCATAAAGTTCACGCTTTTGCAATCAATATTACCTACTACCTAAGAACAAATAAAATTACAAATCAACACTAAGTTCACTCAAAGTTGCAGTTTATCCTTAATACTCCCCCTCCCGACCAAACATCTATTCGAGTGACGAATTCAGAGCTCAGTAAAATAAAAATTATTTCATTGAATCTTATTTCATTGATGGCTGGTTTTCAGAATTTCTGCTGCTGGGTGCTGTTCGAATTCAATATTCGTGAACAAAATCTATTTCAGTATCGTAAGAACTTTTCCAAATTGAAGTTTTGATTTCAAATTACGTTTGATGAACCTGTGGGGCCTACCAATATCCATAAGTATTTGCTAAATTTAATCAATCAATTATTGATTTTCACTTTCATAGCTTTGTAGATAAAGTGCGCAATTAACACATTCTAAAAATATCTATGTTCAACTGAACTATAGGTAAAATATATTTCTATCGGAAAGTTTCGATTTCTACATTTAGAGGTTTTATATTAATATATAACTAGCTATATTCAACATCTACTTATTGTATATTTCAATGTGCAAATATCCAAACCAAAAAGTCACGAAAGATTTGCATATTGAAACTCGATTATAGATATTAATATACAGTATGGTGAAGACTTGATTAATTATTGAATTGTTTAAAAATTTGTAAATCAAGTAATCTTAACTTATTCATTGAGCAGATTGAAACCTAGAGACACTGAGTTCCTATTTAGAGTGATAGATCATTACTTACTTTCGCGTCATTTCAAAACAGAACAAAGCAGAAATTCGGTGCTTCTATATTTTTAATATCAGTGGATGCTAATTCCTGATAAAAGTTATTATAGAGTAAATCGTTATTTTTAAAAAAAATTTCGTTTCACTCATAATTTGACAGTCGGAATAAACACCCAATTCATCACAAACCAATGTATTATGTTTAGATAGTATTAACTAAATGGTATGGAGTGCAACTATCATCCAATTTCTCTGGTAATGAATATTTCGGTCGCTGCAACATTTATCCAATTTACTTAGGTTTGAAATATACATTATTGGATTTTAATACAGTAGTTAAGCGATATCCGCGAGACAGGGAGGTTTTGGGTTCGGTCTCTGGTAGAATCATGAGAGCGTACTTTGGGGGGACCCCACAATCAAACAAAAGATCTCTCGATTGCTTATGTTGATCCGTGACAATTGTTATATACAAACTACAATATTTTATTTAAAAAAACTTCATTTCTTTGGTTATATTTGTTTCTTAAGTTGCTGTTAGTCCAAGTCGAAAAGTACCATAAAATAAATCCTGTACTTGAAATCAGCAAATGATATAACAAAGTTCAATGAAAAAAACATAGCCTACTATATCAAATAATAACCTTATTTTAATTACAAATAACATTTTTACTTACTCTTTTGTTTCTAGTTTATTTGGTGTTTGGAACCACATTAATTGCCGTTCTAGTGAGAAGTTTCCAAGAGATTATTGACTATGAATTTTCAAATGTAACAGGAGGATACTTTGACGAAAAATTTAGTGAACATATGGCACATAATTCATGTTTAGAATTATTTTTTGACGATACTACACCTTCACAAAATTGTAGAAATCAATTAAATCATAGAGATATGGGTTGAGAAGGTATTCTGTATTCCGATTACAAATAATATACAGTTACCTTACACTTTCAAGATGTATATGACACCATACGTCTTTCTAGGTAATTTAAACTAAACAACTGTTATTTTTTTCATCCATAAACTTTTTCATAATCCTCCGGCAGTATACCCATTAGATGGAATCCAATAAACCGATCAAATGATGTATATTATCACCTGTAATTTTATCTCCCATATGACACTAAATATATCACATTATTGCTGCCGCCATCATTTTAACACTCATTTGTATTTGCTACAAAAATGATAGATTCGGCATTTTCTTTATAAATTCGTCGTAATCACTAAACTGAAGTATTGTTCTGTTGCTTGATAATGCCCTTAACCTCTAACTATTTTTTAGTCGATCATTCGTTTTGCATGTTGTTGGGCCATCTATTATAAATGTTCACAAAATTATTGAAAGGTTATCTACTAAAGAAGCTAATTTATCATAACGAAATTTGAAAGCTCAAATGTGAACATGAATTACAATAATTGCTTTATTCAATATTAAATGTTTAGTACGGTAAAGTATATTGGAAATAAAGTACTTCAAAATGTAAATTTTAGTGTAAACTGACACTGCAGAAAATATGTACATAAGCAAGTTATAAATAATAAAATGTACAGTAAAAAATAACATGCATTTATTTTCAAACACTAGTTATTTGAGATAATGCAATTGCTACACTTTTTCCTCACAGATGAAGGAATTTTAAAAATTTCTGTATTTTTCTCGTGCATATGATTTTCATGTATTTGTATCTTGTTCTTCTAGTCAGTAGAAAATGTAAAGGTTGTAAGGCTAGCGTATATATTGTTTTTGATAAAAGGTACTTGTTTGTTGTCCGCGAAATTTCAAATGACTTTTCATAGCCATATTCATAATCATGCCGTCTAATGCAATAAAATTACCTTTCAACCCCTTATGCAACATATAATTTGTCTGGAATGTTTAGCAACGTCTGAAGATAAGTAGAATAATGAAAGGTCATAACCAAAAAAGTGGTGAGAAACAGGCGGCCTGCTTGAATATCTGGGCTACCTGTTTCTGCCATCTGATTATTTCAACAAGTTATCTGTTTTTATTTGTTTTAATTTATAATCATGTCCATTAATCGCATAACCTATTCTGGCGCTTTTATGAAAAGCTTACGACCTTTCGCTGCACAAGTTACGAAAAAGTACTATAAAAGACATCGTGGTGGTTGGCAATATGCGTTAAAAAGAATGAACATTAATAGTATGTCGATTCCCGAGCTTCTTAATTCTAACTGCCGGTCACTAATCAACAAAGTGGACTATCTGCAATTCCTACTTAGTCAAAATACGTATCGTAATTGTGGTGTCATCACAATTCAAGAATCTTGGTTGAATGGTTTACAGGATGACTGCCTTGTATCACTACGTGATTTTAAAATTTATCGTCAGGATCGATCGAACAATAAAAAGAGGTGTGGTGGCGGTGTAGCTACGTTTGTAAACATAAACTGGTGTCGATCTTCGTTTGTGTGTTTTAAGTTTTCAAATGACTTTATCGACTGTCTAACTCTAAGATGTCGTCCAAAACATCTAAATAAATACAAATATGTTTATGTTACCAATATCTACGTTACTCCAGATTGCACATCATCTGCACTATCTGATTTTTCTGATGAATTCACTGAGTTCGCTCTTACTGCCTTCAGTGATTCACTTTCAGTCGTATGTGGTGACTTCAATTCATGTGACTGTAGCTTCCTTACGTCACTGGGTCACCAAAATGTAGTGGATTTTCCTACCCGTTTGGATGCCTATCTAGACTTCGTCTTCATTAATGATGTGGGTATATATGCGACTCGTAAACGTGCTCCATTGTCTAGCTCAGATCACTGTATAATTCGTGTTCTACCTAAAGTATATGGAAAGCATGAGAAGAGTACACTCTTACGTCAAACCAAGAAAGTCAAATATAGGAATTACTCAGAAGAAAATATCCGAAATCTGAAAAGCATGTTTCATACGACAAACTGGGAATTATTTACAGATGACTCACTCGAAAACACTACTGATGTTATCACTTGTTACCTTAAATTCTGTTTTGATATTTGCTGTCCCACTGAAACCATTTTTGTAAGTTTTGATCGATTTACATCTACACAACTAAAACGACTACGAAGGATGAAAGAAAGAATGTACAAGGAGAAGAACTCTAATGAAGTTCGTAAGCTAAATGGTCTGATAAAGCTAGAGATCAGACGTCTCAACTGCATGTTTACTCAAAAGCTCTTATCTTGCAGAAACACTCCAAGTATGTGGAAACTCTTTAAAGAACTTACAGGCGACAGACAGTTTAGAAGCGATAACCAGCTGAATGTTTGTGACTTAAATAAGTCTTTTGTTCGTCAGTCATCTGATGTGATGCTCCCTCTATCCACGGGTTTAAAAAGTAGCTGTGTTCCTACTTTCACTGAAACTGATGTACGAGGATGTCTCCGATCGCTTAATTCATCTCGATGTTTGGGACCTGATGGTATCCCAAACATCCTTTTTAAAAAATGTGCTGACGTTCTGTGTCATCCGTTCACAACTATATTTAACAGATCCTTCTCATCTAATCTCATACCGAAAATGTGGAGAAAGATGAAGATAATTCCTGTACCCAAGAAAGCATCTGGTGATAAGAATGTAAAATTTAGACCTATTGCAATAACTTCACCCTTCCTCAAAACCATGGAAAAATTATTAATACTTCCACTTCAGCTTGCGATAAAAGAGCATACTGACCCATACCAGTTTGCATACAGGCGCAAAAGAAGCACTTTAGATGCTGTTGCAGTTCTGCACCACAACATAGTGTTCAACTTAGAAAAGGGTAAGAAGTATGTTCGTTGTGCTTTTCTGGACTATACTTCAGCTTTTGACTCTATACCAAGACAACGTTTACTTAACAAGTTAATCAGCGTCAACACTGACAGCTGGATAACCAACTGGCTATGTTCCTACCTCTCTGGAAGAGAACAGTACACTGTGTTTGGAGGAAAGTGTTCGGAGTCTCTACTGTCTCAGGAAGGTGTACCACAAGGAGCTGTTCTTTCACCTCTTCTATTCTCTTTTTTTCTGCATGACCTGCCATCTTCTACAGAAAACACTTTTGTGAAGTATGCGGATGATCTCACTGTATGTATGCCTATATCTTCCTCTTTACATCCCGTAGAAATGAATGAGTTTTTGTCTCATATTGATTGTTGGTCAGTTGGTAATGGTCTCATACTTAATCCGTCTAAATGTCAAGCTGTTAACTTTAGCATGAGACATGAACGGAATATAAACACCATTTTGAGATCCCATAATGCTTGTGCCATCGGAGACTCTTTCATAAACTCAGTGTCGAAGGTCAATTATCTTGGTGTCACCTTTTCCTCTGATCTGTCTTGGTCTTCCCACGTTTTATCGTTATCGAAGAAGGTTTTCCGTCTGACCTACTACATAAAGAGATTGCATGCTCTTGGGATTACTCGTCATTTACTCTTACAATTTGTCAATTCTTGCATTTTACCTATTATTCTTTACTGTTCTCCATTATTCTTTCCCGGGCTTTTGAGAAAAGACTTTGCTGTATTGCGAAGAGTGCTGAAGGCAGTTAGCAAGATGTGTGGTGAATCTTTCGAGGCCATAATTAATATGGTTGTGGATAGACATTTAAAATCATGCAAACTCCTGGCAGGTGTTATTTTATCAGATACTAGCCATCCCCTTCACTCTTATCTTTCTCCTTGTATATCTTCTGGTAGAACGAGACGTAATTACATTAAAATCCATGCACGTAAGGAAAAGTATAAAAGTTCTATAATTCCTTACCTAGCAAATATACTATGTGACGAACAGGTTGTTAGAAATAACCTAGTTAATAACTTACATTCTTAACATGTCTTTAATTTTAAAAAGTTTGCACAGTTTTTTTTTGGTCTTTTTTTAAAAATTTCTTTTAAAAAAAAAACTTTTTTTAAAAAAAATTTCTTTTTGTATTTTCTACTGCCTATTTGTTCGTTTTTTTTTTCAGTAAGTAACTTGTTGAAATACCCTGTGCTGAGAATTCTATATTGTACCAAAAAAATATAATATTGAATAAAGCCATTAATAATAATAATAATAATAATAATCATAGTTTACATCACCAACATGTCATTTATTCGGTATAGCCACGAAACATCTGTTATGAACAATTTCCAATAAACACTACATATACATTCAGCAGTTTACAGTATTAAATATTTCTCAATTTACGCATATTTTGGTTTTGGGTGAAATCAAGCATTTAATACATTTTAAAGTTTGCTTTGATTTAGATAGCAGTCAGCTATAGCATTAGTGATCACTAACGTAGATGATCTATGTCGAATGATTGTGGGCCTGATAGAGTTAGACGGGAATGGTGTGACGAACCAGCTAATGTCGAAGTCACACTTCACGATCAGCACCTTACGTGGATTGTCCCATCGACGTATCATGATACTATAGATGCTTTGAAGACTGTACAACACGAAGGACTTATTGCATAACTATATTAGTTAAAGTAGATACAAGCGAAAGTAAGACTACCGCTGCATGGGCCAGCCCATGGCGTACGATTAAGTGATGCGTGTTGGTTGTCCTTGACGAGGATCGATGATTTGTTCGATATTCAGTGACCCAACTGTCGGATAATTTGGCTAGGGCTCAGTGACATTTCGTTGGCCCTACAGCATTTAGGAAACACATTTTCCCTATTTAAAACTTGGTAAACGAATGTACCAACAAAATTTCTC